TGCCCAGATGGCAAAGGACACTGAAATTAAGAAATAGCTCCTGTCCAGAGAACAAACCCAGGAAAACGTTCTGAAGATGAAGCCAAGGGTGTGTCTGGAAGACCTCAGGGAGATTTTAGATGAAGCCCCAAAGACCCTTTCAAAAGACCGGGCTCAGGGTGTACCCAGTGGTAGAGTGCTTTTCTTGCATGTTTGAGGCCCTGGCTTCATTCCTGCACTGCACACATACAGACAAGGCCTTCCAAGTGTATGCCTCATTGGTCCTCCCCATTTAATAAAAGGTGAAGGAGAGGGCTTAAGAACCTTCATGGCCTTCTCCCAAAGCAGCATTACAAAGAACTCAAGGTAGGAAAGCTTGTCCCAGAGAGATTTGTGGGTTTGGCATTTGTGTAATGGAGTAAATCCCTGGTAAGATTCACAGTAAACCACAAGTTTTTTAGATAATTATATTGGCAGACATACCACAGCTTAGACTAGTAGGAATGAAAACAATAAAAAATGAAAAGTAGCCTTTGAACCCTCAACTTCTACAAATAATCAACTGCAAACTCTAGATGCTTTTTATTTTTGCAGGGCTGGGAATTGAACTCAGGTCCTCCTGCATACTAAGCAAGTGGTCTACCACTGAGCTACATCCCAGACAACATTTTTTATTTGAACAGGAAAGAATTTAAAGGGCAGGCCCAAGAACTGAGAGGCAAAAATTGGAGTGTTCCCAGAGAACAGAACTGGACCCAAAGGTATTTCAGAATTGTTATGAACAAATGGCTATTATGTGCCTCCCCTTGAAAAATATCAGATTGCTCACCTCCATCCCAGCAGCTCACCAATGTTGGGTGCATGAAGAGGAGTAGACAATTTGTCTCCTTAGTTATGGAACTAAAGATAGTGAGGATTAGTACTTGGGAAACTTCACCAGAGGGACTGGTTCTGTACCCTGAGCCAGTTTACATGACACGGGGTCCTATAGCACTAGCTTAATCCTGATGGGTTAAGAGGACTTCAGGAAATCTTGGAAGAGGTGACTGTTTTGCAGGGAAGGCTGCATCGGGCTAGAATGTAGACTAATGGTTTTAAACTGCCTGCAAGTTCTTTTGACACTTCTCCCATTAAGAGAGATGGTGTCAGTTTCACTCTTGAGTATGGGCTGTCACTCGTTTCTAGGTAATTAGAGTACAACAGAAGTGATGCTTTATGACTTCATTAGAAAAGCCTTTTACCTGTCTCAGGAATCTTCTTGCTGGCAAGCTTCTGCTGTGAGAAATCCCAGGCAGCATCAGCCACCAGACATATGAGTGAGGAGGTCTTCTAGATGACTCCAGCTCCAGCCAGCATCTGACCACAAGCAAATAAGGAAAGCCCAAAGAACTACCCGAGTCCAGAATTGAGAGGTGATAAGGCGTGACTATTGTTTTATACCACTAGGTTTAGGGTATTTGTTGCACAGCAACCAAAAACTAGAACAGATCTCTGAAACACTGAAGAGAATCTACCAGATGGTCCTGGACCCTCTCCAAGTATGGCTTTTTTTTTCTCAGTACCCATTGGATATGTCTTCTCTGATGCCCTGTTGGCCGGAGGTTCTTATCAACCAAAGCTTCTCCTTGTCTTAGAATCTTGGCATTTTTGAGTCATAGTAAGAGAAATGTATAGACTTATTATCAAAAAATTGGCAAACTAGGTTACATCAGTAAGTGCTACTATGTTCTAGAGAGAAAAAATAGTACTAGTTTCAGCAGTGGTTCAGGGCAGTTAACCTTCTCTAAGCCCTTGCTGAGTGTCACTGGCTCATTATAGAGACTTGTTAGCCACAAGTCAGTTAACATGCCACTTAGTTAATGTATTTTTTATTATTACAGGACTGAAATGGGTTGCATATAATTGTTTTGAGCTTTTTTGATGGAATAGTTAATGTGTATAGATACGTATTAGAAGTCCAGTTTTCATCATGGGTGATTGTTTTGAGCTTTTAAGGTAAAGCAAAGAAAGGTCATTCTAGCATATAGATCTAGTAATGCATCCTTTGGATATTTCCAAATAATTTTTTTCTCACTGTATATAATAAACATCTGCCCCAGGAGCTTTTAACAACACAAGGAAGCACAAAAGAAAAATATTCCTTATGTTTTTTTGCTTTCTTCATCTCTCCAGGAATTTGTTCTCTTTTTAACTCACTGGTATATGTCTTTCCAGACTTTTTTCCAGGCATATATATTCATGGGGTAATATATAGTGTTTTAGAACTGCTTTTCTCAGTCATTCCATTTATCATCATTTTTTTGTATTTGCATAGTATTCCTTTTAATAGTTGTGGTACAATATCACAATGCCTGTGGTTGAATAATCCCCCCGACCTAGTGTTTTACTACTATAAATAATGAGCATTCCCTTTTTTTTTTTTTTTTTTTTTGTACCAAGGATTGACTTAACCACTGAGCCACATCCCAGCCCCCCCCCCACTTTTTTTTGTATTTTATTTAAAGACAGGGTCTCACTAAGTTGCTGAGGTTGTCTTTGAACTCTCGATCCTCCTGCCTCAGCCTCCTGAGTCTCTGGGATTACCAGTGTGCATCACTGCCCCCAGCTCAGTGAGCATTCTTGTCTAAAGTGGATGGATCAAGGAATAGGAGTTAAGTTATAAGCTAACCAGTATAATGTCAGATCATGCTACTCCTGTGTGAACCCCCAACCCCATGGCTCCCATCTTAGAGACTTAAAAGGCCCTATAACGCCTGGAGTGCCTGTACGTGCCCTTCCCTGTGTCCTCTCTACCTTATCTTCTCTCAATATTTTCCTTATTTGTTGCCCCAAATCTGTTCCTAAAAATACACTAGGCATGCCCCATTTTGCCTAAGATCAAGGGCCTTGGCGCTTGTCCTTCCCTTTGCCTGTGACACTTCCTGCAGGTATCCACAAGCTGCTGCTTTCACTTCCTTTTTGTTTTGGCAGTTTGGGCTTCAGCAGACAACTTACCTTAACCATACTATGTATTAAACGAACATCTTAGCAGCTCCTTAATCTGCCCTCACTTTTGCATTCCCTGTTTCCTTCACCCTCTTTCTCCTTCTCTATAACACTTACCTGGCAGATTTTACATTTATTTCACTCTTCCACAATAAGTGTTGTGAAATCAGGGACTTTTGATAGTTTTGAGCACTGTTTTACCCATCATACCTTTGGGATTGAAACAGTACCCAACACTTAACTGGCACTGTGTGAGCTAAGTAATGAGAAGCCTATCATATAAAGGTCATGAGGGAGGAAAGTACCTTTCTTGAATGTTGAATCAACTATATATTTTTTTATTCAATTTGCTAATAATTGGTCACAGGTTTTCCACATTTGTATCCATGAGGGACATGGTCTATAGTTTTCTTGTAGTATCTTTGGTTTTGTTATCTGGGAATTGGGGGCCTCATTAAAATAGGGGAGGTGTTCCTTCCTTGTTTATGTCCTGAATTTGTATAGAATGCTAGAAATATTCCTCTGTGCACTGTTTTAGCTGCACCTCCTACATTGTGATGTATTGGGAGCACATTTATCACAGCAAGTGTGAGCCAGCTGCTTTTTCCTTGAGGCAGGCAGATTTCCTGAGTGAAGGTAAAGAGTTCTTGTGAATCAGGCTGTATAATGTCTGAGGAGAACAGACTGACCCTTGTGGAAGCAAGGAAAGCTAGCTCCAGTACTGTTCCCAGTCCTAGTGAGCTTTGCTGTAATGATTTCAGCTGAAGTATTTTATTGACTTAGGGTAAGTTCCATGTTTTAAAAGGCTGAAGTCTGGGGCCAACAAATGTGAAGAAAATTTAAATATCAGAAGGGATCTGTAGAAGAAAATCAACCATCTGTAGTGTTTAAAGTAACAGCTCTAAATTAACTGTGAGAATATGTGCAAGGATTCTGTGAAGTCTTTTAGGTGATTGATGGGGGGTGCCAAAGTACAGCAAATAAGATTAGCAACTAAGCAAAAGAATAAAAAAGAACTTGGGAATAGGAAAAGGAAAGACAGTGGAATGAATCTGACATAGTTTTCCTGTGTACATATATAAAAACAACATCGTGGATCCCACCGTCTTGTACATCCATAAGAAGAAGATCCTAACTGGAACAAAATACATTCTGTACTTGTATGTTTATATCAAAATGGATTCTGCTGTCGAGTATAACTAAAAAGAACTAATAAATCAGGAAAAAAAAAAACAAGAACAACAACAACAAACAGAGCCTTGAGAAAATTACTCATGATTACTCTTATTCTTCCATGTTAGGTAGAAAGTGTCCATATTTTGTCACCATGTTGGGTAGAAAGTGTCCATATTTTGTCACCATCTCTTCCAGGTCTTGAATTAGCAGTCTCCATCAGAGGACATCTCCTCCTAGAAAACTTTTAAGATTCAAGTGCCTAAGATCTCCTTAAAAGGCCCATTGCATCAAGACTCATAGGTAGTTTTTCTAATACTAAATCACTTTTTTCTAATGATTTGTTAGTTATTGTTATTTTATAATTGGAAAATAATGATGGTTTTAGGTTAAAATTTGGAAATACCAAATAAATTTAACCATTTCTATTCTACTGTTTACAAGATTCAGAAGCAAATAACCTTTTGGCCATTCTAGGATACTCAAAAGAGAGTATAGCAGTTTTACTCTCAATTGGAAAAGGCAAATTAAAATTAAAGAAGAGTTGACAAGGAAACAAAATATGAAGTGTTATTTAAAAGCAAGAAATCTTTACATATTGATACTGTAAAAAGGTCAGCAAAAGTACGTGGTGATGATTATAGGAAATTTAGTTTTTCAAAAACAAGGAACTTTGCTTCAAGAGTATGCCAAAAGTATAGGGATCTCACCATATTTTTTTCTTTTTCATTTTATTGTGGTTTTAACTTTATTTTGAACATGTATTATGTAACACACTGCATGCTACATAATATATCAAGTAGCCTTCTAGCAGGGGTAGATGACCATACTGAGTTTTTTTCATCAATCAAGAAAATGCTTCCTTAATCCGTGTTCTCCAAACCCTTTGATTTATAATAACGATTAACTCCAAATATATGTCTTTCCATCAAATTCCACTTATAGGGAAAATGGGCAACCCTTTTTTCCTTGCCCCCCTTAGCAAACCTATGGATGTAGACAGTGGCCACTCCCAGGAAAACAAAACACATGCCCATTATACTGACTCCTAGAAGAATTTCAAACCACATTTTGGCAAGGTTATTTAAACCAAATCCCTATCCCTTAGGCTCCTTATAGGTGACTGGTTTTGGCTCCTTTCCCAGTCACCATATTTTATTTTCAAAAATAACGTTTATCTGAGTACAGAAGGAGTTGGGTCATTTTATAGAAAGAAAACTCTAATTTGACTTTGTAATCCAAATAATGACTTACTGTGAAGAATTTGCCCTTTATTAATATACTTTCTAAAGCCTTTCTAAATATTTGTTTAGGTATACATAAATTGTAATAAATTTAAAATAATTACCTTTATGAACATATTAAATAAGCCAACATACATTATACTGAATTTATCATCATAATGAGATTAACAGCTCCCTTAATAAACCAGTAAACACTTCCATTGTGTGTGTAAGGTAAGTGCTCTACCACTGAACTATATACACGAGGTCCTCACATTCATTATCTCATGAGATGTATTACTTTGTAACTGTATTCTGGTGTGGTCTCAACCATTTTATTAATTTTTACCTTAACCAAAATAACCTATTTCTTTTCAACAGAGAGAACTGGTATATATAACACCAGAAACTAAATTTTTTCTTCCATGACTATACATTTTATATCATTTATAGATTTTAAATTCAAAAAATATTATCAAAGACATTTGGACTTGATTACTCTTTAGTCATTCTACAGTGTATAAAAATAGAAGACAAGGTTAAAGCCATGTTGAGTGACCATTGTTTTATATCTTAGAAATTGTCAGAGTATCTAAATACTGTTTATTAATTAAATCTAGTAAATATGAGCCTAAGTTCTTAAAACTGTAGATCTAAAAATTACAATTCATGTTTACACACTTAATCCTTATGATTTGTAGCATAAGAATTTCACATGATTAAATCAAGATCCATAATCCAAGTTTTAGAGAATTTAAATCCTAAAAAAACTAAATCCAAGTCTTGTACAGACGAGCACTTTGTACTGACATTTTACATGATGGTAAAAACAGTGTGTCAGCACAGTTGTTTTTAAACTAAATTCATTTCAATTTGTCTAAAGGGATATCATCAGGAGTATTACCTGGATTATTCTCTAATAAAACTCTCTAATGTTTATATTCAACAGACCTCCATATTCTTAAACCAAAAATTTAAATCACATCAAAAGGTTCTAGTTTTCCTGCCTTTCATATCTTACAACATAGTAACCAAGGCCGTTATTCTAGCTCATGGCTAACTTTTTTCTCTTCTGTTACTTTTAGCAAGAAAAAATTTTTAAAAGCCAATATGAGTAAAGCTTAAGAAACTTAAAAAATCATTTGAATTTTATCTGGACTGGATAAGTATGTAAATAACACCTGAGTGCTTTTTTTTGATTAATTCATAAAATTTTGCCAAGAATAGAGGAAAGGGAAGGAGAGGAAAGGGGGGAAATGAGAAAGGGCAAATGAGAAAGAGCACAAGGCAAATCAGACTGGTGAAAGCTGATCTATCACCTCATAATTTTATAATTATAAAGAATAGAATTTTGCACTTACAAAAACAGTTGTAGGATTTTATAGTACTATTCATGTCAGTTTGAAGAGTTTTTCCTCCATCACTAAAGAGGATCCCTCTTGGGCTAAGGAAATTGTAATTTGAATCCTAAAGCCTATCATCGGGCCCCATTACTGTCGTTTAGAGGCTTCTACTTCTTTTGCTTTTTAGATAAAATAAATAATTTTTCAGTGATTATTATTGTTGTTGTTTGTTTGCAATGTACAATTTTTCATCTCCTGGAGCCAGGAAAAGATGAACTTCTTGAATAGGTTCAAGGAGTTTTGGAATTTATGGGCCAGGGCAGGATTTGAAAAGTCCTTAACATTGGCACAAAATCTGGATATAGCCAGGATTAGATGTTGTATTATAAAATGTTAGGGTCCTCTTCATATGAAAGCTGCAAAAAAATTTTTTTTGGTATATAATACATAGATATTTTATTATATAACAGATGGAATTTATGAGAAATCATTGCATCTGTTTTATGATGAAATCAAGTGAGATGGCTCTTCAGAAGCAATTTTGAGTCTGGTCTCTCTTGTAAGTGAAAAATATTCTTTTTATTCTCTAATTTATTTAATACCTTGTTGTGTGTCTTCCAGTAATCTTTTTCTGGGTGCCTAGCATGACATACACTTTGTGTTCTTGCAGGGAGTATCAGTATGAAAAGAACAGCCCAGGCTACAAAGGACTCTTCTTTGAAGCAATCCCTAGAAAATGGAACTCATCAAGATTCCTCTTATAAGTAAAAGGCAAAGCCACCATAAGGCAGTGGACCTCAGGAAGCCCCCCTTAAATAAATATGAGGAATTTAGCTGCTTCTCTGGGGGGAGTGATGGGAAATGGAGAATAACAGCAAAGTCACGAAGTTCTGGAAAACTGCTTTAGAAAGCTGCAATTTTAAGAGACTTTGCTTTAGTATGCTTATTTCCAAAGATGAGGGAGGAGGAGGGAAGAGAAAGGAGAGCTACAAATAGGAAAGTGTGGAATAGGTTTAGGCAGAAATGTAAGACAGAGTTGATGTTTTTCATAGTTTATTATCAGCATAGATAATAGAATCTTATACCAATTTTTTTCATTTTTTAAAAATATAATTTTAGGGCTGGGGCTGTGGCTCAGTGGTAGAGCATTGCCTAGCTTGTGTGAGGCACTGGGTTCGATTCTCAGCAATACATATAAATAAATATGAACATCTAAAAAAAATTTTAGAAAATAAATTTTATAGTCACAAGGAATTGTAAAAAGTAGCAAGAATCCCTATGTACCTTCACCCAGAATTCCTAAACCCTCTAATAGTAAAATCTTATATAACCTCTACATTATCAATACCAAGAAACTGACATTTGTATGATACTGCCTACTAACCTGGAGATGCATTTGAATTTTATCAATTACTTGTTTTCTCTCTACATATCATTCAGTGAAATTTAATCACACATATAGATGCATGTAACTACCACAGTAATCCTGAACAAAATGATTTAATCATCATAAAGAAGCACTCAGGCTCCATCTTATAATCATAACCCTCTCTACAAATGTAACCCCTGCCTGGCAACCACTGATCTGTTCTCCATAACCACAATTTTGTCTTTTCAATAGATATATAAGTGGAATCACACAATGCACATAACCTTTTTAGATTGGCTTCTTTTTGCTCAGGCTAACAACCTTGAAATTCTTTCAGTGTGTTGCATATAGCAATGGTTTGTTCTTTTTTTTACTACCAAATAGTATTTTAGTGTGCAGATAAACCACAGCTTATCCATTCACTTATTAAAGGACTTTTGGGTTATTTCAAGTTGTCAGCTATTCAAAGAAAGTTGCTATAAATATTTATGTGTAGATTCTTGTGTCGATACATGTTCTCATTTCTGTAAATATCCAGGAGTACAATTTCTGAGTCTTACTGTCTACATTTAACTTTATAAAAAAAAAAAACTGTCAAACTCTTTTTCAGAGCATTGTTTTATATTCCCACTTTTGGTGTGTGAGAGATCTAGCTGCTTTATGTTCTTATCAGGAGTTGTTATTTGTTTGTTTTTTCCATGTCATTCTAATAGGTGTTTATATCATCATGACTTTAATTTGTATTTTTTCAGTAGTTAATGGTATTGAACATCATTTCATGTGCTTAACATTGAACATTTGAATAATCTCTTTGGTGAAGTGTTTAAGTCTTTTTGCACATTTTCTAATTGGACTTTTTATTTATTTTTTTTTACTGTTGCTTTTAGAGATTTTTAAATTCTGAATATAAGTCTCCTGTCAGAATTATGAATCACAAATATTATCTCCCAGTCTGCACCTTGTATTTCATACTCTTAACAGGATCTTTCTTAGCAAAATGATTTGGTTTGATAAAGTCCAACTTATTGGTAGTTTTCTTTTATGAATCATGATTTGGGCATTATGTCTAAGAACTCCACCTAGCCTTGGGTCATAAAAATTCTCTGTAGTGTTATCTTTTAAAAGTTTGATGGCTTTACTCTTCACATTTGGATAAAATTTAATCATATATAGAGATGCATGTAATTACCACAGTAATCCTGAACAAAATGAGTGGATTTTTGCTTTCAAATGTGAGGTTTAGGTCAAGGTTCATTTTTAGCTAAGGATATCATTCTTCTAACACTATTTGTTGAAAAAAAAAAAATCCTTTCTCCTTTGAATTGCTTTTGCCTTTTTGTCAAAATCCATTGACTTTACTTACGTGAATTTACTTATGTCCTATTCCACTGACGTGTATCTGTCCCTCTACCAGGTACCTAATTGTCTTGATTTCTATAGAGAGAGAGCAGTAATTTCGAAACTGGGCAGTGTGATTTTACTGATTTTCTTACATTTCCGTGTAAATTTAAAAATAGTTCTCTTATCTACAAAAAAATATTTCAGATAAAATTTCATTAAGCCAATGAATTAGTTTGGGGAGAATTAACATCTTCAGTCTGTGAATCATAAGCACACACTGTTCTCTATTTATTTCAGTCTTTTAAAAACTTTTTCATGAGAGGTTTCTAGTTTTCTTCATACAAATCCTGCAGTAGTTTGTTAGATTTAGACTGAAGAAAAATTTGGGGATCAATTGTAAATAGTATCATGTTTTTTAAAAAATATTTTTTTTAGTTGTACATGGACACAATATATTTATTTATTTTTATGTGGTGCTGAGGATCAAACCTAGGGCCTCACACCTGAGAGGCAAGGGCTCTACCACTGAGCTACAGCCCCACCCCTAGTGTCGTGTTTTTAATTAGAGTTTTGACATATTCAGTGCCAGTCCACAGAAGTAAGATTGATTTTTGTGTATGAACTTTGCAACCCTGCCCTCCAAACCCTTCTTTTTTTTTGTTAGAGAGAGAGAGAGAGATTTTTTTAAAATATTTTATTTTTTTAGTTTTCGGCAAACACAACATCTTTGTTTGTATGTGGTGCTGAGGATCAAACCCGGGCCGCACGCATGCCAGGTGAGCGCACTACCGCTT